TTTCTTCATACTAATACATAACAGCAGAACATTATCGATGCATAGAACTGCATACAAAAGTTGGGCTATTTCAGATGTATAGTTTGTCTGGGAGGAGTTTAAATACAGTTTTAACGAGCTACAGCCTAGCAAACAGCACGTAGATATTACACTGCTTTATATCAGAGGATCAAACACTTATGCAAGTACACAGTTCCTTCCTGTAAAGATTTGCATGCTTAAGTAATACTAAATTTTGTACATAAAAGGACCAATCGGATGCTTAGAATCATAGAATAACTTTGGTTGGAAAAGACTCAGAATATAATGCAACCTACTGCTCAAAATTGACCCAATATTAAGGAACTGGAAGTTTCCAAAGCCTCATTTTATCAGTAACGGTAAAGCGAAAAGCTGGCTTCAGTTATTTTTGTGCATGTAGTAACTTTATACTAATAAGAAGTTTAATATTAATACCTTAATGCACACAGTGAACTCAGAGCTTCACCTCGAAACCCAAATGTTTCAACACGTATTAGATCAGAAAAATCTTGTATCTTTGATGTATAATGTTTCAGAGCTGGAAAAAGATATTTAAAATATATATTTCACTTCAAAGTGACACTGGCCTACGCAAGAAGATTTTGCATGCATATCAAGAAGCAAAAAATCTTCTGTATTATTATTTTACATAATTATTGCAGACAAAATAATTAAATACTTAATGTTTCATTTCCCCTTTTCCTATAAGCAAGATCTCTTTAAAATCCTCAGATACACCTATTACTCCAAAAATCGTACAGCATTATTCGTATATGCATTACGAGATGCCTCGGAGCAGTACAGAGTACCTGCCTCTGCTACTGATGTACCCATCACAGATTTTGCACTGCAAGAAAACAACTGCAGTGCTGTGCTGCGCATGGTACATAGTGGAGAGGCATAAGCTTATTCCAGTATGACTACAGCTGAGGAGGATTCAGTCTACACAATCGGAGCAGTACCAGCCACCAGGTAACAAACTTGGTCAGCAGCAGCACCCCTGAACTCTCACTGTCCTGCAACAGTAGGAGAGAGCGTTTCTGACATACCATATGCATACTGCGAACACACAAAGTTACTGCGCCATAACTTGTGGTGAAAGAGGTCCCCAGTCATCATATGGAGAAAGAAGCACGGCTACTCCTGTTGCGCTGGCTAGTTATATTTGTCATACGGGATTGTTCCTGCTCCTGTTTCATGCAATTTAAAACTAGCAAATGGAAAACTGGACAGTTGGGCATGCAATGTCAGGTCACTTTCAGCAAATATTCAAGTTTATAATTCACCTGTCAAAAACAGTCACTTTCACAAAGCTTGACTCCTTCAGCAATGACTGATGACTAAACATGAATGAATCTAAATGAACATTTATAGGACTTTCTCTTTTATAATAATTTTTATTCTTTGTTCCATTTAAACAAGCAATTAAATCAAAGACTAGTTCTGAGTTACAAGAACTATAACCACAATAGCACTACAGAACTGTTGTCTAGTTTTGCTCAAGTCTTGCAGGTCATACACGCATTACGTAAAAGCTGAGTATATTAAACTTAGGAAATTTGTTTTTTAAAAGTAGCTTTCTAACTGAAAATATGTTTTCAAAATGACCAAATATAAATTATGAAAAGGGTTCAACTTACTCAAGCCTTCGAAGTTTTCCTCTTCCACTCCACCTCCATTATCTGAAACCTCTATCAGTTCTGCTCCATGATCTTTAAGTTTTATATCTATGAAATTCAGTAATAAAAGTCTTTTGATTCTGTATGTTCATACACAGTATTCAGTATTAATTTTGTACTTGAAGTAACTTTACCAGATAACGTTTTTTCATGTCAAGTTTGAACAACAAAGAAATCCTCATAGCTGTCAAAAGTTAGGGCAATCTAATGCAAACCAGCCTGTACTTGGAAGAAGTTCGGCTTCATTGCAATTATGCCTGAACAGAAGTTTTCCCGGTTATACCAGTTATCATCCTGGCAGCTCTGGAACTGCGACCCTGCCGTAACCGTGTGCTAGCTTGAGGCCAGCAGCTACCAGAGCCTCATCACCACTGCTGTACAGGCCACGTACCTTATTTAGTGGCAAAAAGGGCTACAAATAAAATAACACAGACAAAATCACATGCTTTTAGGAGCCCAGCTGGAGCCTAGCAATCACAATACTTTATTTATCTAAGGTGTAAAATCATTGCAAACATGCTTGGCCCAAATACAAAGTATTTGTGCAGATTTGTTAATATGTTTTGAGGAAAAAGAAGTACTTCAGAGGTCTATGAAATTACGATGAAAAGCAGGTTACCGATGTTGGTAGCTCCAGCATCCAGGCTGTTTTCCACCAACTCTTTCACGGCAGTGCCAAGATTCAGCACAACCTGTCCCGAGCAGATCCGATGAACGGACTTGCGGTCGATGGGCTTGATGGCTTTAGCAGGCTGCAGGCTTGAAAGAGAGGAGGGACAAGAAAATCACGGCACCGCAAAGCAGGCGGGAAGGGCGCGCACCGCCCGACCGCCCCTCTCAAACGAGGGCAGCCGG